CCCCAAAACCCCAAAACCCCAAAACCCCAAAACCCCAAAACCCCAAAACCCCAAAACCCCGAAAATAATCTAGAGTTGAAATTATATAAAAATTAACACAGCCTTAAATGTTGAGAGTAATGAGGATGAGAGTGGCCTCTAGGCCCACTTCCACCAATGCATTCCAGAACAACTCAAAAATGATTGGTTTCCAATTGCTAGCTCCTTCACAAGCAGCTTGAATCAACAATAAACTTGGATATACTCCTTCCAGAGGGTTTTTCTGGGGAAGCAAAAAGGAAGAAACAAAAGATGAAATTAAAATTGAGCAAGAAGTCGTAGAAGAAGTCCAAGCTAATGATACAATCTCCGACCAAGTCATTGACATTTCTGATTCCGCTTCCTCCTCTCAGGGAACTATTTTCGAAACTATTATCAAAGATGCTCCTCAAGTGACACCTGAAGTAAGATTTTAGATGTGTAAAGTATTTTAGCCCTCATATGATCATCAAAATGCTTTCCAAGCATTTAGATGGTATGATGAAACAGATACAGCAAATATTCTTAATGCTGTTACTCCAACTTACACTGACAATATCATTGATGGAGGATCGACTTATGGGTTCTGGGAACTTCTCGAATATTTAGACGATATTTTCTACAACCAATGGATCTATTTAGCAGAAGATTGAGGCCTCGGGCTTGGAGGTGGTCTCCTCGCAACCTCTTTTGCTGTCAGAGTTTTGTTCCTCCCTCTTCTTATGTATTCCCAAGCAACTGGACAAAAGATTAAACTATTGACCCCAGACCAGAATGATATCCAAGAAAGAATGAAAAGACACATGAAGACAGGAAATAGAGAGGGAGCCAAAATTGAGAGACAGAAGATGAAGCAGCTCCGTTCTAAACATGGAATTTACCCTGCTCTTTCATTCCTCAACATATTGCAGTTCCCAATTCATATGGTCTTTATCTCAATGATTAATAGGCTGTCATACAACTACGATATTAAGCCAGCAATTTTATCTGATGGTTTCCTCTGGTTCCAGGATCTTTCGTCCCCAGATCCTTATGGAATCCTTCCTATTATTGGAGGAAGTGTGACTCTTCTCAATATAATGTCTACCTCAACCACCAATGTAAGCCCAATGATGAGAAGGATGAAGAGGTACATGTACTTCTTGCCATGAATGACAATCCCAATATGGATGACATTCCCAAGTGCATTCAACATGTACTGGATGACCTCCTCTCTCCTCCAGCTGGTAGTCCTCAATCTCTTCAGAAATGACAATTTCAAGAAAATGATTGGAATTCCAAAGTACTTGCCTGGTACTAAACTTGAGAGGCTAAATGCCATCACTCCCAAGACAAAAGTGATCAAGCCACAGCTAATGAGATAAATAGTTTCAGTTGAGTAATGTAGGTCTGGGGTTTTGGGGTTTTGGGGTTTTGGGGTTTTGGGG